GGTGCGCGCCCCGTGGAGTGGAGGGAGGACCCCTCCCCCACCAACCAATCAATCAATCAATCAATCAATCAATCAACCAATTAATCAATCAATCAATCAATCAATCAATCAATAAAAAAAAAACAGTCACTCAATGATTTTTTTTTTTTCTTCTATTTATTTAATTTTTTTTGGCAGTCTTCGAAATCCACCCACGCATTTTCGAAGTTGTTATGTTTTTTTTTCTGCAAGGAGGTAGGGGGACCCCCACCGACTCGAAACCCAGTCCCTGCCCCTCAAACCCCCTCCCCGATCGGCCGCGGCCTCGACCAAAATTATTGGCCGCGTTCGGCCGCGGCCGGGGGGGGCCCGGCCACGGCCGACGGCTGAACTCGGCTAGCTCACTTGGTGAAAATGGTAAACACGACAGACAGGGGGTAACATAGCATGAGGCCTCCAGCCTTACCCTTGTAATGGTACACAATAGGGTCTGGCCTGGTATCTCGGCCATCTGAATACTTTGATTACCACTCTTATTCGGGATACTATGGAGATCCTATTACGTAACCGAGCAGCCCTCCTGGAGAGAATTATTAATATCGAGAAGCGAACTGCTTTACTGAATGAGGTCCTGATAAGAAGAGGGGATCTCCCATCTATCTGCCCTGGTTTTCACCATGAAGCCCCATCTGGTAACGACTATAATGAGGTCAGAGAATGGGCTGCCTCGATCTTCTCTAAGATTTATAATGATCATCGCTCCTTGCTGAAGGAGTTCGAGGAAAACATATAGCAGATTAGAACCCATGAACGACAGGCTCTGGACCAGCTCATGAGAGCAAACATGGCACTCAATGCAGAAATGAACAGACTTAATGAAGATATCTATCACAGCATTGGACATAAGACAGACCCAACCTCCTTCCTGATTAGGAAACTACTTGTCATCCTGCTGCTGCTTTCATTCTACGCTACTTTCATTATGAGCCTCACACAAGGGTGCATGGCCTGATAGGAATCCTCGTTCGGAGCAGTGTTATCTCTTTTCAAATGAATGTATGAATGACCTTTTTAAAAAAAAGTGGGGACATGTAGCATCTGGACAGAGTGAAGGACAAAGCGCATGATAATGGAAGCTACGTATAAGACCGGATGCAGCCTATAAACCTACAGCCTGAACAGTCATACCGCAACGTGCTGTGGGGTTCTTGGCGTTTTGTGCCATGAGGTAACGTATTGTAACACACACACATACACACGCACACACACATGGCCCCCAGCCCACACCCCTGCCCTGCGCGAACGCGTTCAACGCGTTTAACCGCGTTTAATGAACGCGCGTTCAACGCGTTCAAAACATGAACGCGCAGCAGCACAGTTTTTGCATGTCCGCTGGCAAACATGACAGGAAAGTGTTCTGCAGGATGCAACGATTACCCCAAAAGTCGTTTCGGGGGCCAAGTCCCCCTAGCATCGCCTAGTTGTTGGTAGGAACGCTGTGCCACACGTAAGTTCAGCAGGAAAAGCTGCGTTGCCACTTGTACGCACCCTCGTACAGGTACGGATTCGTACTCTTGTACTCATATGCTACTCGTACGCTAGGGGCCCCGTACGAGTTTTTTTGTTTTTTAATCCGGTATTGTTCTTCTCAAATTCTAATCAGAATCTGAAGATGATGCTCAGACAAATGTTGCTTGTTTTGTGCTGTTGCATTATATATTGTTTTTTTTTTTTTTGCTTTTCCGTACGGGGTGTAAGACGTGCAGGTTCCCGTACAGATCCCGTACAGATAGTCCCTGTACGTTTCGTACGGAAAGGCCCCGTACGTGTACATTATGCAATGTATAGGAAAAGTGTGCGTGATGCATAGAAGCCATAGACCATTGTACATCTGAAGGCTTACGTGAACCCGCGCCAAAAAGAAAATAGACGCGGCAAAACTAAACAGATGATGACGTCAACAAGTAAACAAGCTGGTAATGGGGACACAATTCCCTTCCCCTCATTCTCGGAGTAGTTACCTACCCTGATAGTGAACACGTTCGTAGACTTGTCTTTTTTCTTTTCTTTTTCTTTTCTACTCGTCCTTCCTCTGTCAGATCACGTTTTCTATTGGAGCGTCAGTGGTCAGAGCTCCTTTATCCTCATCATCAGATCCACCAGCAAATCTGCATCAACAGATCCTGAGTTCGACGCCAGAACAATAATTGATGGCAGTGCTTCTCCCTTCACAAAAAGGGAAAAGTAAGAACTATGGGCCTCTCTCCTCTTCTCTCGAAATGTGCAAAAGGAGAGTGAATCTTCCGCTAGAACATGGAAAGATACACCACCATGATTTTTGTCTTTTGTGCATGGCCAGAGTTGTGGAGCGACGCCCTATGGCCTCCATTCTCTGGGAGAAAGGTAAGAGCCAAAGTAACAGAGCACGTTGGATCTGTCAAAATCTAATGCACTCAGTAAGAGGTTCGCCACACAGGCTGTAGAAACTCTGAGAGTTTCCACAGCTGTCAGAAGAAAATTGAAAGTAGGCTGTAGGCCGTTTAACCCCCCTTCGCCACACAGGCTGTCGAGGGGCAAGGTTTTTGCTCATGGCCAAATGGACTCCACCTTTCCACAGGGCATGTGCGTCATGGAACTGTAACTGAGAATGCAAGTTGGAACGCAATTCTGGAAAGGTGGGTGGGGCACTTTGGAGTTTCCGTCCCCTGCAGGCAGGTGGGAGGACGCGAATGGGGGAGGGTGGCTATCGAGGGTACCATTCTGACACCTCTCGAAATTGTTTTGAGCCGCAATTCTTCAAAAGTCTGTGTGACCATGCAAAATTGTTGAAAACCCGGGTTTTTGACAGCCTGTGTGGCCAGCCTCTAAAAGGGAGAAACTTTCCGGCCTAAACTCATGTCACACATAACTTCCCCTCCATTCAATCTTGTCCCACCGTTGTAGGCAACTACAACCACACGATGCTAGTGGGACTTGGCCCCGGGGCCTGTGACACTTTTTGCCCGTTTGGGGGAGAAATGAGTACAAAGGTTTTGTCACGGGGAGGTTTATAACTTTTCCGAAAGAAAACATGTACAGACCCAGAAGGGAAGAGTCTTCTATATCAAACAGTGCGAGTCTCGCTATTCAATTCGTCATGGGACGGGCCATTTGGTTACCTATTTTTTGTTTTGTTCTTTTTGTTTTTGGGACAGTTAAAAACTGGTGAGTCCTTTCATGCGCACCACTAATTAGATAACGAGGCATTTGTAGACCCTTTCATTTTCTTTCGCCCCTTGTGACAGTGGGGATCTCGTCTGTTCATTTCTGCCCGTTACTACAGTAGCCGAATGACGAGTCTCTCTCTCTCTCTCTCTCTCTCTCTCTCTCTCTCTCTCTCTCTCTCTCTATCTCTCTCCCCCCCCCACAAACCGCCAAAACCTCCCTCCCGCCGAAATGCAGACACAGGGTTAAAGGAAAAAAGAAAAGAGCACGCGTGGCTCCAGTTCACGCCCGTCGGACGATTGCTTCAATTCTCTGACTAAACAACGGAGTGATCCAATCGACACAGTGATATTATGCTTGATACGATTGTCCTATCATTATGATAGCTTCACGCGCAAACCTGTCGCACACTGGCCCTCTACGTCGTTTCTAAACAGAGACAAACGTCTACAGCAGTTAGAATTCCAAACTAGAACATCGTGGTGTTCAGGATTACGACTTCCAGAACAGGCCATCATTCCCTGTGATGCCAAAGCATGGCTTCCACTCCTAGTTTTTCTTCTTCTTTTATTTAGAGAAAGCTCACGACTGATTTGAGCGCAGATATTACACTCGCCATTGGTTTTAGTTACCTTTCCCGCAATCAAGTGGCAACGTCCAAAGAATTTCGTTGCAGGCGGGGAACAAAGATTGCACAAATCAGCCCTTTCGGGACACGTTGCATGATTCCCAGAATCCACGCGAAAACTCCGTACGGTCGAGGCAAAGGCTTGAGCTTATAACTTTCCAAAAGACATAGTCAGGCCTCCGCCGGTTCTGTGCGCATCGTTACTTTGTGCTAAAAACAGAAGACAGGTGGAGAGGACGGTGCACGATAGAGACGGACGCACACCCATGCACGCACACTTTCCTTTTTTTTTTTTTTTGGCGGTTTTTTTTTTTNCCCCCTCTCTCTCTCTCTCTCTCTCTCTCTCTCTCTCTCTCTCTCTCTCTCTCTCTCTCTCTCTCTCCTCCCCCCCCTCCTCTCCCTCCCTCCCTCCCTCCCTCCTTTCTCCCCTGCACCCCCCCGGTGTTTGTGTTTTGTAAGTGCTGTCTCTCCACTGGCCGACATTTTAAATGCACCGGGCGCTGGTAGCCGTCCCGACGCATTCAACTTTGAAACAGTCTAAATGTATCCGGAGCTGTAATTGGACCGGATCCATTCAGATTGTTTCGAAACCTCGTTTGTATCAGGAGACTCGCAAATCACAAACGCGAAGATAGATAGAAAGAAAGAGAGGAAGAGAGGGAAGGAGGGATGGAGAGGGAGTTGGGGAGAAGGGAGGGGGGAGAGAGAGAGAGAGAGAGAGAGAGAGAGAGAGAGAGAGATGAATCGCGGACATTTATATGTATGTGGGCGCTCTTTTGGGTGTGTGTGAAAGAGAGAGAGAGTCGCCGTCATGTGTGTGTGCGTGCGCGCGTGCATGCATGCATGCGCGCGCGCGTGTGTGTGTGTGTGTGTGTGTGTGTGTGTGTGTGAGAGAGAGAGAGAGAGAGTTGCAGGCATGTTTGTGCGTGTGCGTGAACGGATTTGCGTGTGTGAATTTGGGAGCCAGATTGCCGTGCTGGGTATGTCGCAAAGTAGCGGCCGCGGTAGACAACGTAAAAAAGTGTGCAGGCGGAGGCCTCAGCGGCCAGGTTCAGATAGCAAATTTGAGAACTGGCCTGAATCAGTTAATGCCTCCGCCTTTGGGGGTACGTTGCACATTCCCACGAAAAAGAAGGACAAAAATAGAAAACAGTGGGAATTTCGTCAATCCGTTAATCACGAGTGGGGAATCTTGTTTATTAATTCATTTGCATCACTAATTAGATGATGACGCCCTCTCTCTCTCTCTCTCTCTCTCTCTCTCTCTCTCTCCAACACAGACACAAAATCAAAGGAACAAGAAACGAGACGAGCACACGTGGCTCCAGGTCACGCGCGTAGGCCCGTTGGTTCTGTACTCTGACGGAACGACGGAATGATCCAATCACAGTGTAATAGGTTTTTTTGTTGTTTTTTTTCCTAATGTATGCTCGATACCATTATCCAATCATGGCTTCACGCAAACCTGTCGTTTCTAAATCGAAACAAACGTCTACAGCAGTTAGAGCCCCAAAGTAGATCATCATGTGGTGTTAAGGATTACAACTTCCAGAACAGCCCGTCGTTCCCTGAGATGCCATGCATGGCTTCCACTCTTTTTTTACCTTTCTTCTATTTCGAGAAAGCTCAGGACTGATCTGTTGGACTGTTGAGCGGAGATATTGTACTGGCTATTCATCTTAATTACTGATGCCGCAATCAAGTGGCAATATCTTTAAAAAAAACACTTCATTCCTTGAGACCTCGTGTAGCGGTTACCGCATCATCATCCACATCGTTTTCTAGGTCCACCATCATCACCGTCAGGCCATCCCAACCCACTTCCAGGAACATGTTGTGAATGCGCTGAATGATTTCTCTCATGGCTGGTCTGGACCCATACTCCTCTTCCACGCATTCCCAAGCAAGTTGGAATGTGTTCATCACCATCTTCTTGATCGAGTCTCCAGCCACCTGATCCCACAAGCACCGATCAAGTATCAGGTACGGCATCTCCATGCTCCCGCTCTGGACGACTCCCCCTCGAAGGAAAGGCTTCACCCACCCGACGAGCGTCTGCCATCCCAGACCGGAAGGAGCCGGCCCGACCACCTTCTTGCCCGTCAACAGCTCCAGAACGAGTACCCCATAAGAGTACACATCGTTCTTTTCGGACAGCTCTCCTCTCAGCATGTACTCGGGAGACATATACCCGAAAGTGCCGCCGATGTGAGAGGTCAGCACGACGTGATCATGCCCGGTGCCCAACACTCTCTCCCCAATGGCTGCTAATCCGAAATCCGCAACGACGACGTGAAGCTTCTCGCCAGATCCTTCGCCGAGCAGAATGTTGCTGCTCTTCACGTCCCGATGGATAATCGGCGGCCTGGCGGCGTCGTGAAGGTAGCCGAGCCCCTTGGCAACCTGGAAGGCGATGCTCAGGCGCTCCAGAAGCGCCAGCGGAGGGGATGGATTCTCGACAATTTGGTCTGCCTCGGGCGCTTTTGCATCGCCCCCACCGACGGCCTTGGGGCACAACCGCCCGTGCAGGCTGCCTCCTGTGAAGAACGGGTATACCAAGATGCTTTGATCGCCCGCAACGCAGTACCCAACTTGTTGTACGCGGTTAGCATGATTGAGGCCGCTGAGGGTGTTCACCTCGGCCACAAACTGCCTCCGTTTGATGTCCGTCAGCTCGCCCGTCATCACTTTTATCGCGACCTCCTTGCCATCGAGCGAGCCTCTGTAAACCTTCCCAAACGCCCCTCTCTCCCCGATTCTTCGACCCTCGCTGAATTTGTCCGTACATTCCGACAGGATTCTGAAAGGCAACTGCTTGACCCGGGACGGCTTAATTCCCCACGTGTCCAACGCTCCACCTTCCTGTATAGATGAAGGCCGTTGTTCATCGAGTAGGACGGCACGGTTTAGACCTGCTCGTCGTCGGCGCCAAAGGCAAATCAAGCCGCCAATGATTGCCACGGCTACCACGGCCACCGCAATAGCTACCAGAGCCGGAATGCGAGCGCCTCCAAGAGGGCCCCCTCCAGAAGATGCAGGAGCATTGCGTGGTTCTGCTACCGTGCTTGGTTCTGCTACTGTGCTTGGTTCTGCTACTGTGCTTGGTTCTGATACTGTGTTTGGTTCTGCTTCTATCCTTGGCTCTGCTTCAAGTTTACAGTCGTTTGGAGGCCTGCTCCACTGCACTTCAAAAAGCTTCCCGTCCTCAGAGCCCACGTATAGGTACCCGTCGACCCCTTCATTTTCCATCAATGCCAGTCCCGTCAGGGTACTTCGTGAATAGTTCATCACCGTAATGGGGTCAGTAGAGAGAGAACCACAGGTTCTGCGGACGTACGCGCTTCTAACCAGGGACCCTGTCGTCAAGAAGAGACTACACCCATCCAGCGTGGCCGCAACATCATTCCTGTATTCGAATTCGCCTTCACCTCCGGAGTATAGGCCCGTGGGTTCATTATCATTATCGAACGGGTGAACCGCCCATAGCAGAGCCGTATTAGAACCCAACTCCCCAAACTAAAGGCAATTGTTCACAAAGCTTTGATATTGGAATATGACATTATAAAGTCCGTTTAAGCCTGAGGAAAAGGTTCCTCCCGATGATGACGTCGTAAGTCCCGAGCTATCCACAGGAATCATTAAGAGTGCCTCATAATTGTTTTCTCCTGAGGAATCAGCAACTGTATAAAGCAGGCGTTCTCCGGAAGTATCCAAGGCGATTCTTCCAATAAAGTACCCCATGGAGGACGAACGACGTGAGGAATTGGAAATAGACAAAGACGTAGTGCCGCATCTGACACGCTGGACCGAGTTAGAAACGAGGGAGGGAAGGTAGTCTACGCTCACGATGAGATGGGAACCATCTTTCGAAAGGGCCATCCCCGTAACGTCAGCAGTCGAATTCGACCGCTCTGCAATTCTCGACCCGTTCCGGTCGTCGTAAGACCACAAGTAGGTTAATAATGTTGATTCGTCATCCGCCGAGTCAGATCCCCGGGGCGCACCCCTCGACAAGTTGGCCTTTCTGATCGACGTCACCTCGCCGTTTGAGCAGTTCTGCCAGAGGACGTAGTACAGCTCTTTCTCTGGCGAAACCACCAAGTTGTCAATTACGGACTGACAATCCTCTGTTGGGGGTGGGTGTGAAGCAACGACCCGTATCGAGTTGTCGATAAAGAGTTCGAATCCCCGCCCTACCACTTGAAGAGATGGTGGGGCTGCAGATGCGGGCGCCTGCAGAAGGCGACCAACCACATGCGCATCGGAATTGGAAATCACAGCCAGGGAAGAGAATCTGTGAGACAGTCCCTCGCCCGTGAGCACGCGGATCGGACTGTAGCCGCAGATCATGGCAGCTAAGGCCAGGAAAAAGGAGAAGATGAACACGCGCACCAAGAGGAAGCGCACGTCACGACTTGTGATGTCACAGAACACCGCACGGACAATCCTTCTCTCGCGAAAACGCATCCCCTTCATCGAGCCGCTAGGCGTCTTCCCGGGGGAAATTAAAAAAAAAAAAAACAAAAAAAAAAAACACTATACTAAAATGAGAAGAAACCGGGAAAGACACCCTACGCATGGGGAATCCCTGGTCTAGCTTGCTTTACCTAATAGCTGGCGGGCATCGAACAAGTCACCACATCAAATGACCTCCCCATGCACACTTCTGAGCCGTCCCGCTATCAGTGTTTCGCACATGCAGCTGGCAAAAAACGGGCCGAGGGGCTGTTTTTTCCCCTGAGCCGTTAATAGCCACGTTGGCCCATCAGCCCTCGATTGGCACGACCAACGAGAGGAAGTTGGGAGTGAACTATCCACGCGAGCTGATTAATGAGGATTCGATGTTCTTACCAGGTGCTAACAAATGAGGAATCAACGTTCTTCCCCACCCAGTCGTCCCTCTCCGTCCTTTCTCGCTGCTGTGCTAGTGACTTAACGCTGACTTCGTACACTATCGCCGCCGCCTGATTAGTGAGCAATCAACATTCTTCCCCACCCAGCCGACACGGGCTTATTAATGAGTAATCAACGTTCTTCCCCACCCTAACTGGGTGCTCAAACTGGGCTCTAACTGGGCGCTAATGAATGACGAATCAATACTCTTCCCCGCCTAGCCGTCGATCACCGTCATTTCCCGCTGTTGTCCTTGTGACGTAAAACCTACGAAGGAAATTATCGATACGAGCTGATTAATGAGGAATCAACGTTCTTCCCCTTCCTGTCGGGCACTAATACGCACTACTGAATGAGGAATCAACGTTCTTCCCCACCCAGCCGTTACGTTCCCACCGCCGTTGTGCTACTCAGGTCAAGCCGACGATAATGTGGGTGGTGACGGGGAGGTGAAACAACTTGCCGCGGGAAAAGGGGTGCCATGACAAGTGGCAGAGAGAGATGCGTTCTTCTTTGACACAAGAGTTGTCCCGACATGAAACGGCCAACGCTTCCCCTCGTCAGGCCATGCATTTTTTAATTACTTTAATAAAAATAAGGCTACCCAATTCAATTACACGAATAAATTTTGCAGGATGGCCTTTCAGGCCTTGTTATTATCGTTATGGTATTTCAGAAACGGGAACCCCGTAGCAGCCAGCCCGAATTTGGGGGCTGCACCCGACCTGCAGGTGGGTGAAACCGGCCAGGGGTCAGGCGGTAGCATCAGGACTGAGCTTCTTCGATGGGCCAATCGCCATGCCTCCTCTCCGGTCCCCTTACCCTACGAACATCAGCAGTCTCTGCTCAATGCCGCTCGCCGAGACCAACGACCTATCTCTAGGTGGCGGGGCTGGAAATGTGCTACGCGCCAAAGAAAGAGAGGAGAGCGCGCCCCCTCCTTTTGTTTTTTGGAAAAAAAATTGAAATGCCCCTGAATTTTCTGTTTATTTGCGATTTGCCCCTCCGACGGCTGACTTACCCCGATATGCCCCTTGGCATCAGAACTTTCCTGCAGGCCCCTGTCAGTGATGGGCACAACGTTTAGGAATGCCGCTACTGGACTGGCAGTCCTATTTCCCCTGCTGCCTGTCGGATTTGCCCTTCTGTGGGGATGCATCTTCCTGAGATGCCCTCCAGCAGGGAGGCACTCAGAA